TTTTCTAGCGCTCACATTACATTAGTAACATTTTTCCTCCCTGAAGTTCCTTCAGCAGCTGACCCTGGGACTCTTCCTGCCTCCTCTGCGGGGACTCTGCCTTCCTCCAGCATCGCATCACCCTAGGGAGGCAGAACTGACTTTTCTCCAGAAATGTGACTTGTTGGTCTGGTGCCAGAGATGCAGGACAACGGCAGGACAACTTACCCAAAAAGCGCAGCCCAAACTTAATCATGAAGTCAGCCTTCGTGCATGTGCGTGTGCGTGTGTGTGTGTGTGTGAGAGAGAGAGAGAGAGAGACAGAGAGAGAGACAGAGAGAGAGAGAGGAGGGAGGGAGATAGATAGACTAAGTCTTTTTGAAAGATGTTGAAAGTTAAGCCTATACTCACACAAAAACACATGTAAGCACACACATACACAAGCACACACAGACACAGACGCACAACATTTTGTGTAGACCCTCTGAAGCCCATCACATACTCTCTGGCAACCTGTGAACCCTAGGCTACAAATCCTTGATTAAAAACCTGGGGATAACTAAGTGGTCAAAAAAAATCTCCCTTTCTACTAAAAGGAGAGCTGCTAAACGTAGTTATATCGTTCAAATTCTTTTTATCAGACCCAATATCGGGGCAGGGATGTAGCTCATTGGTAGGGCACCTGCCTTGCCTGTTTGAGGCCCTGGCTGCCAACCCTCAAAAGAAGTTAAGAATAGGACTATAATTCGCTTCTTTTTCGAGTGCAGGGAGCTCATGCCACACCCACTGGTGTTCAGGACTTATTCCTGGCTCTGAATCCACGAATTTCTTCTGGTGGGGCCCAGGGGGAGACCATATGTGGGACTAGGGATCAACTCTTGGTTGGTCTTGGACAAGACTGACATCCTGCCTGCTATCCTCTCTCTCTAGCCCCCAGAACTAAAATTCTTCCTTGCCAATATTTCTTTGTAAATCAGATCACAGGTGAAGCGGTGTGAATCTCTTAGAACAGGTGGGCAATGCCCTTTCCCTGTGTTATCACATCCCATGGGATCTGGTTCTTGCCGACTTTTGTTCACATGTAAAAATTTAAAAAATAATGGAGTTCATGCCCAATTCAATCAGCCTAATCAATGGCTGAATAAATAGTAATACTCCTATATTTAAAAAAATTTTTTTAATGTTTTTCAGCCATATCTGGCAATGTTCAGGGGTCACTCTGGGCTTTGCACTCGGGAATTACTCCTGGAGGTACTCAGGAGAACATATGGGATGCAGGGGATGGGGCCCGTGCTGGCCACACGCAAGGCAAATGCCCTCCCTGCTGTAGTGTTGTCTCTCCAGCCTCTTCCTTCCAGAACTTACCCCTGGACCCCAGTTTCCGCCCTTTTGTTCTGGGAACTCCACGTCCCCTAGAAGCAAGTCGCCAGGTTCTCTGGTTCCCTGGAAAGCTCCGAGAACCCCGCCCACATCCCCATGCTGGCGAATGTTCTAGCGCCCCTTCCTTGGGTGCATCTCCTTAATCACGCCCGCCCGCTCGCCCGCTCGGGTGCAGGCCGTCACCAGGGCTGTCCCCGGGAGGAGTCATCATGCCACCAAGTCCAGGCCATTGCTTCTATGATTTATTGCCTCCTTCCTGGCCAGAAGTGCGCCCCACCAGGGAAAGGGCCCAGTGTCTCTTGACTGACACCGTGGTCCCTGAGTCCTTGGCACAGTGCTGGCACAGACTGGTAGTTGGGCAGTAGGCACTCGGCTGCCAATGCTGATTATCAGACCTCAGCCGGGCATGGATTAAAACCTCAAGAGGACTGAAGCACCGAAAGTGAGGGCCCTCCCGGTCTCTGTGTTCAAGACTCAGTACTATACCCTAACTCAGTCCTAACTCGGGACTCAGCCCTAACTCAGTCCTAAACCCAACTCAGTACTCAGTCCTAACTCAGGATTCAGTCCTAACTCAGGACTCAGTCCTAACTCAGTCCTAACTCAATCCTCAGTATTATGCCCTAACCCAGGACTCAATCCTAACTCAGTACTAAACCCTAACTCAGTACTCAGTCCCGTACCCTAACTCAGGACTCAATCCCAACTCAGTATTCAGTCATAACTCAGTACTATGTCCTAACTCAGAATTCAGTCCTAACTCAGAACTATGCTCTAACTCAGTACTCAGTCTTACGCCCTCAGTACTCAGTCTTACGCCCTCAGTACTCAGTCCTAACTCACTACTATGCACTCAGTACTCAGTTCTAACTCACTACTATGCCCTAACTCAGTACTCAGTCTTATTCACTCAGTACTCAGCCCTAATTCAGTATTCAGTTCTAACTCAGTACTAAGCCTTAACTCAGGACTCAGTCCTAACTCCATCCTATGCTCTAACTCAGTACTCAGTCCTAACTCAGTACTAGGCCCTAACTCAGTACTGAGCTCTACACTTACTGGTATTGAAACAGAATATCTTTGCTGGGGTTTTGAGAGGAATCCTGTTATATCTAAGGTTGAACTTGGGAAGGATGGGTAGATATACTGTTGGATCTTCCAGTCTATGAGAGGAAGTTGCTCTAACGATTTCAGTCTTCTTTAATTATTTCATCAGCACTTTTTACAGTGCTCAGTATATGGATCCTGGGTATGTTTTGTTAGATTGATATCTAAATAATGCCTGTTCTTTGGAGCAATTGCACACGGTATCATATTTTCAATTTGTGTTCCCATTTTTGCTGTAGCATCTAGAGGAACTCTCTCAGTAGTATGAGGAGGAACAAAACCCACACATCTGAGGAAGCTTGTTCAGGGTTAGTCTGCTGGGGTAGGAAGGAGCCATTTCTCCTGCCAGCTGAATTCATCAGGAGGCTCCAGTTCTTTTGCTCATGCCCACTGTACATGCCTGCTGGCTGCGACCAGCAGAGATGTGGTCCCTGACACCCACAGGTCTGCCCCACTCCAGTTCCACAGGATCTCCGTGCGGGAATCCTTCCTCCACCCAAAGACTGAATCTTAACTCTCTTTGAGGATGAGGTCAAAGCTCATCGGGACAATCCCTGCCTCCATTGTCCTGTTTCTCCTCTGGAATCTCTTACCCAATCAGCTAAGAATTTCCAACCATGAACTTCTCTCAACCACCAGCTTAGTCTTAATCTGTCTTCCTGCACTCATTAGAAGCTTCCCTCCGGGGAAGCTCGCCCTGGAGGCCCCAGAGACTGGTGGAAAGCCCTCCAAGGTAACTGCTGAGTAAAGGGAGAGCTGGGGAGAGTTTCAGGACTTGTCAGTTCCAAGGACAAGTTTCCGGAGGAGCCGGGCGGGTTGCAGAAGCAACCCTGCAGACACCACCCTGCTCCGCTTCCTCTAGCACAGGGCTCCCCGAACTTGCCATTATTTCCCTAAAGACTCCCAGCAACTCCAGCTCAGCGGATTCGCTACCCAGATCTTGTCCAATTATACCCTTCCCCCGTTTCCAAAGCAAGCCGGGCAGGGGCGGGGGGAAGCTTCTTCCAGGCGGCTTTGCAGAGCCCAGGTAGACTCAGCGAGGCTGCAGTGACCCGCGCTGGCCAGCAGAGGACCGGGAGCCCTTCCCCTCCGCCCAGCGCTCACGAGGTCAAAGGCAGAGGCTGAAGGTCGCCCCTGCACCTTGGGGCCTTTCGGGGCTTCATTTCCTGCCCCCAAACGTGCGGTCGGCGGTCTCCCCAGCTCCAAAAGGCGGGCGGTTCCTCCTCTTAAAGAACTGGGCCGGAAGCTGCGCGAGGCTTACCCCCAACCTGAGCCCGACGTGTTCATCAAGAATGCACTTGGGTGGTAGGATTTTTGAAAGGCAAAGCCTGCAGCAGCAGGGATCTTTTATGATTCAAGCTTGTTTTTCAGTTCTAGTAGTGTCAACGGAAAAGACACACACGCCCCCCACCCACCCAGGCCGTGCCCGGTCAGGACGAGCCACCCCTCCACCCCGCCCCCCCCCAAGGTAGCATATTGCAAAGGGAGTATTTCAGGAACTAGAAGATCCCTACACATCCCTCCTGGCTCCTGGCTGTGTGCTTTTCCGTCATTAATCACGTCTGTTCAGGGATCGCCACGTGAGTACTTCCCAGGAGCCGCGCTCCCCGAACGCTCCGGGAACACCGGAATCAAAGCTCTGATTGTGCTCTCGGTTCCAAGGGCTGGGCTGTCACCACCTTTGGGCTCTATAGAGTTTTCCAGACTGTTTAAAAAAAAAAAACACTAAATGTGCGGGTCTGCCGCACCTTCTCCTAGGGTCTGGCGGCAAGACTCTGTGCACGGTGGCGAAAAGCCTTTATTTATTTATTTTTTTTAATCTAAAGAGATGTCTGCGTTGCTCACGTTCAGGGACCCGGCCGAAAGAGCAGCTCATCCCCGCAAAGGACAGGAAAAGTGGGGAGCCCTTCCCTGTTTGGGTGCGGGGTGGTGTGGGGGCTCAACACTGCCAGCTGAAGGCCTAACTTGGAGCTTTGGGGGGGAATTTGTGGTTTGTGTTTTTTTTTTTCACCCAAGTACCTGCAACTTTTCTTTCCGGACACCCGGCTGTGCCCTAGTCTTGGGGATCATCTGTCCGACTTCTCAATAAAAGAGGGATCCGCTCGGATCATTGTTTGCAAGTCCCCTCGCTGGGGAGGCGGCTGCGAAGAGTCCCCCCGCCCCCACCGCCCCCGTTCCGGAGGCCCCCGGGCCCCCGGCAGAACTGGGAGGCGACCCCCCACCCCCAACCCCTACCTGGCGGGGCGCGCCCGCGCAGGGCCGGCTCCTCCCCGCGCGCCGCCCCCGCCCGACCTGCCGGGGCGTCGTCGCGGGGCTCCGGGGGGCCGGGCCGCGCCCCCTCCCCGCGCGGGGGCCCCGCCCCGCGGCCCGCGCCCTGCCCTCGCCTGTCTCCTCCTTTCCCCGGGGCTGCGCTGAGTTCATTCACTGGGATTGGTTTCAAGTGACGCCATCTCTTTATTTTTAAACCGATGACCTCATCGGGCGCTTGAAGTTTCCTGAACCAGCGACTCCGGCTCTCCCCCCACCCCCACCCGCCCCCCACCCGCCTCTCCCCCGCTTTCCGCGGCTCCCCGCCTGGGGAGTTGGGGGGGGCTCGGAGCGGCTTTGATTTGGGGTTTTTTAATTTTTATTTAAGTCTTTAGTTTTTACTTTTTCCAACGCTCAGTGGCACCTCGCCCGAGACTTCCCCCCACCCCTCTTCACCCCTCTCCCACCACCCCCACGCCAGCTCCTGGGGGGGGTGCTCTCCCGTCAGCGACCCCTCCTCTCCCCCACCCACCCCTTCACCCCCGTTTTCCACGTTGTTTGCGGCCCGGCGCTCGGGGCTGGGGGGGTGGGGGTGGGAGAGAAGGCGCAGAAAGTTGCAAACGGCGCCCCGCGCTCCCGCCCCCCGCCGGCGGCCCGCGGCCCGGAGACGCTCGGGGAGCCCGCGCGCGGCCCCGGCCCAGGACGCGCGGACGCCGGAGCGACGGGACGGACGCGGGGGGACGCGCCGCCGCACCCCCAGAGTAAGTGGCCGCGGCGGGGGTGGCCGGGGAGGGGGGTGGGGGTGAGGGCGCGGGGGCGGCGGCCGCGGGGTGGACGGTCCGAGCGGGGCGGCGCGGGGCGCGGGGCCCGGCGGGGGGTGCGGGGCCGAGCTGCTCACTCGCAGGCGCGCCGCTGGCCCGGCCTGGGGGTCGCCTTGGGTAGGGGAGGGGGGGCGGCAGCGGGGCCACCTGGGCGGCCACGGGGCGACTTTCCGAAAGCCAAAATCGATCCCCCCAAAAAATAACATAATGCAACCCCCAAACCTCGCTTCGGTTTTCCTACCCGGGCGCGCGGGGCGTGGGGGGGGGCGGTGGGGGCTGCGGCGTAGCGGGGTGCGGGGTGGTCCCGGGGCATCGGGGGGGGGTGGTCGTGGGGGTCACTTTCCCTCTCCGGGAAAAAAAGTGGAGGAAAGCTCGAGGCAGCCCCCTTCCCCTCCCCGCTACGGCTTTCGGGGTCCCGTCGCGGGTCCCGGGCAGGAGCCCCGGGGTGGGGGGGGGGTGTGGGACAGGACACACGCGCACACGCGCACACAGAGACACACACGCGGGCGCGCACACGTTTTCGTGCTCGGCTCCCCGAGCCCGGCGTGGAGAGAGGCTGGGTTGGCGTTCTTTTCCGAGAAAGTCCTGGACCCCCAAACCTCCCTAGCCCCGCGCCCGGCCCGGCCCGACCCGGCCCGGCCGCCTGCCCGCGCCGGAGACGCCGCCCGGGCCGCAATGAATGGAGCCCGCGGAGTCCCCGGGCCGCGGGGGCCCAGGCCCGGCCCCGGGTGCGCGCGAGCGGCTCCCGCCGGGCTCCGAGCTCCGGGCTCCGGGCTGCGGGCGCTAGGAAAAACCTGTTGCATAATCGCATTTGCCGCCGCGGCTCCCCTGCAAGCAAGGGGAAGTGACTGAAGGTGCAGGTTTTTTTTTTTAAACCCTTGCGAAGTTTTTTTTTTTTTTTTTTTAAATATTTTTTTATTTACCCAGGGCTCCGGCTTGCCACTTGAGCTTTCAAAGTTTATAAGTAAATACTCTGCTCTTACAAGGGAACCTATCAGACCTGTTTAGAAAATGATCAGGTACGTCTCTTGGCTTTCCCGGTTTCTCCTCCTTCTTCCTTTCTCTTTTCCTCCTTTCTTTCCCTTTTTCATTTCTTTCCTTTTTAGTCTCCACCCCCCCCCCCCCCCCACACACACACACCCTTCTCCATCTAGTATAAACCTGATGACTCTTTCGGGGAGCTTAGGTGGTTAGAGAAATGCTTTGGGGGGGGCGGATGGGGAACACCGCTCACAGGTGACAGCTGGTTCCTTAAAGGTTTTATGCTATTTACAAATTACATTAGAAAACAGAATTTTTCTTTTTTAAGGAATTTTTTTTTCCAAGAACTCCCAACGTTTTTTTTTTTTTATTTTTAAGTGATGGGTTTTTCCTTGAGAAGCCTGGCAGTGGTGAGCACCATCCTCCTTGTGGGTTGAGGGGTTGTGTATTTTGTTTTGGGGGGGAGGAGCACCCCAAAGGCAGTGGAAAAAGGAGATTTTAATATTCCATCTTGGGATTTTTAGACACACTGTGGTGAACATGTCTAATTTTTGTTGGTTTTAAATAAAGAGGTGGAACTTAGGACTGGGGGAAGAAGGTTGTCATTAACTTCGCCCCCCTTCCTGCCCCTTAGTTAACATTTGACATCTGTAAAAATGTGGGCTAAATAGCACAGTCTGAATGTTGATTTCGAGGTAGGCGAATTTTGGCCTGTCACCTGGGAGGAAAAAAATAAAAGAGCTGACACTTAATTCTGCTGATCCTGTCTTAAATAGCGTGTGAGAAAATAAAATGCGGCTTGGACTCTTGAAACCTGCCATCACAGATGAAATACTTGAGTGACTAGAAAGTAAAAATAGTCGTGTGAGAATGAGGATAAGGGGTCACTGGCCAGAAACATCATGGCAGCTGAGAACGGAGGCGAGGACAAGATCCGTTGCCTCTGCGCTTTAGTCGTCTGACGGTTTTCAGGCTTGTAGCACTGAGGATGGGTTGGGGTGAAGGGCCCTCTGATCTGGGCGCAGGGGAAGACTCACGTTGACCCACAAATTACTTTGGGTGCTATTTTTTGTACATGCTTGTCTTGGGAATTGAATCCGATAAGAACTTTTGGCTTTTGGGAGTATGAAGTTGATTTACGTGGCTGTCCAGTGTTGAAGTGTTCTATTTCAACCCGAGTAGTTGACTTAAAGTTTGATTCCTTAGAATGACCGGTGTCATTTGCCCCAGAAATGCAAGTGTTCCTTCAGGATTCAAGTATCTTTTTTTTAAAAAAAGAAAAAATGGCAGGGTTTTCTGTTCTGTGTTGTTTGGACTTTTAACCTTTTTTTTTTTTTTTACAAAAAAAATGCTCTGTGTACTCCAGAAAAAGTTTTTTTTTTGAATGGAAAAAGTCAATGAAAGAGGGTAAACAGGTCGAGTCAGAAGCTCTAGAAGATGGGGAAATATAAATCAGGGGAAAACAACCCAGATTTCAGGACAGATCTCAAGCATAGGAAAAGCTGAGATGCAGCTTAAAAAGGCTTGTAAGGAAAACCACTGTTCATGCTTGATTGACTTTAAAAAAAGTTCACCGAATGAGAGACATATCTGCCGTCATTAAAGAAAATGTTATTGCCGTTGACCTAAGCAGAAACAATTTGGAAAGTAAATCTTGGCCCAGGATATAGTTCAGTGGTATGAGACGTTTGTGCTTCCGTTGGATGATGTCCTGAGTTCAAACCCTGCCCCCCCAGCCCCCCAAAATACCAACCCAAAGGGTCCATCTTGCCCAAAGTCATATGATAAATTCCAAAGCCAAATGTAAATGTTTATATGATGGTCTTGAATGTGCATGCTTTTTGTTTTGTTTTGGTTTTTTTAAATGTTCTATTGGCCCAGAGGATTGGGGCCTGGCTCTGGTGAAGAAATGAAGTTCGTAGAAATTGGCTGGATTTAAAGAAGCAGTTTTAGGTTGGAATTAGGTTTGAAAGAGGAGACCTTTTTCATGTGCAAACTGAGAAAGGGAGTTCAAAATTTAATTAAATAAATGGAGGAAACAGGAGTGGCTCCCAAAGAAGGCTATAAGGCCGATTACCAAGGACAGGTACAAAGAAAGAATGAAAGCTTGTCAGAGGTCTGATCAGAAGGAAATGAGATACATCTTGGCACGAAAGGAAGAAGGGGGTGAAAAGAAGAAATACCCTACAAATACCTCGGCAGAGGGAAGAGGGTAGTGAGTCCTCTCGTCCATTTGTAGGCAAGATCTCTCATTATAGATCTCACTGAACGGTCACAAGATTTTTTTTTATTGCACAAAAGACTTCATGTTGGGGCAACCGGCGTGGATAAAGTAAAGCATATGCCGAAATCACAGGAGAGTATAAAACTTGAAGTTGCCAAAGGTGCATTTAAGGGAAAGCCCAATGCAACCTCAATTGGGTTATTGGAAAGAGAGGGGTAAATTATGCCAAGTTTAAGTTGTGGACTGCATTGATTTCTGGATTTAAGATAGGTAGGAATCAGTCAAGCAGAACAGTGATTGGAGGCGTTGCGTAGGCGGCGGTGGATATGGAGAGCTGGCACCTGGGTCTGGCCCTTTGTAAGGAGAGATAGATGATCAGAATATAAGGAGGGGGTGGGCATGTTTACGTGCATAGCCAGGCCACCGTCAGACTTATTCCTGAGAGTGCCAAACCGTGGGCCTTCAGGGTTTCAGCCTTCCCAGGGAAGAAAAGAATGTGAAAGAATGGTGGAGGAAAGGAAATGGAGCCCAAAGGGGTGGCTCTTCCAACTCTTCATTCAGCAGATTTACTTGATCCTCTTTTTTGTTTTTGTTTTTTGGGTCACACCTGGCGATGCTCAGGGGTTACTCCTGGCTTTGTACTAAGGAATTACTCCTGGCATTGCTTGGGGGACCACGTGGGATGCTGGGAATCGAACCCTGGTCGGCCACGTGGAAGGCAAACCCGCTGTGCTATCGCTCCAGCCCTCAAGCCTCTCTTATGTTCTGTTGTTCTTAGAATGGGTGGCGCCTAAAAGAGAAAAGATCGGGGTTTTGGCCCTACAGAACTTTCATTCCAAAGGGAGAAGACAGACAAGCCTACACTGCAAGAAATAACCGAGCATCTGACCAGGAGAAAGATGTCTGGGGCCAAGGGGATGAGAGAGAGCCCCTCTTTTTTTTTTCTTTTGGGCAGAACTGATGAATATTGCTAATGATAGAGCGGTCTCATACTTATTTGCAGTCCACATCAGTTTGAAGGGAAATGCACAGAGGAATTGATTTCATCATTAACCAGTTCTTGTTTTTTAAAAGGATGTTCTTGAGGATGAGACATGCAGGCTTTGAACTTTTCACTCATTAGGAGTTTGCGGTTCTCTTGGTGTTTGCCAAGAAGCCTTTTGGTAATGAGGTTTTGAGCGTTGCTCAGGCTGTCCCCAGGGTCAGGATGTGCTGTGTCCTTAGGTTAATCCTCCTTCAGGAACTGTGTCACCGTGGCGCTACAAAGTGGAGCTCTGTTCCAAGGACACTGTTTTGCGGGTGCCTTTGGTAGAGCGTCGGAAACGAAAGATGCATGCTTTGTATCCATCCTGACCCGTTGGAGAGCTAGGGTATCGGGGCATTCACCGGGGACCGGAAGTGAGGTAAGGGTGGGCGTAGATGGTCTGCGCTCCTTTGGCTCTCTTGGGTCTCTCTAAAGCAGTGAAGGTGAGGAATCCTGCTGAACCGACTGTCCCAGACTTGGGTGTTTGGCACGCGTGCACCTAGGTTGTAGGAACCGGAAGCAGCAAGTCAGTTGTGAAGTGGGGGGCTCTGGTCTTGGTTGTAGACTGCCAGGTGCTGCGACGACCTTTGCAGTGGGAAGGAGAATTTTCCTAGTGGCTAGCTCACGTTCTTGAACTTGTTTATAAAATGCTTCTCAGGCTTTCTTTTTCTTTCTGTTTTTTTGGGGACCACCCCCAGTGACCCGAGCAGGGGTGCACCTGGCTCTGTGCTGAGGATTTTCCCCCAGCAATGCCCGGGGCTCAGCGCTCGGCACACCAAACTTGAGCTAAATCTACCCTGAGCTGGCTCTCCCGTCCTGTCTCAAGCTTTCTTTAAGAAATAGGTTCTGACCCTGGCCTCGCAGATGATCCCCTGAGTACCACTCAGGAGTAATTCCCGAGGACAGAGCCAGGAGTAACCCCTGAGCTTCGCCAGGTGTGGCCCCAAAGCAGAAACAACCAAAACAGGAAATAGATTCCTTCGTTTCTCCCTTCTTTGTGTAGTTGTTTTTGTTCTTTTAGTTTTGGTTTCTGTGCCAAAAACTCGGATTGGATTGGCCATGCACAAGGCAAGCGTCCTACCTGCTGTCTTACTGCTCTGGCCTCAGTTCGTTGTACATTTTTTTCCTTTTTTTGCTTTTTGGGTCACACCCGGCGATGCTCAGGGGTTACTCCTGGCTCATGCACTCAGGAATCGCTCCTGGCGGTGCTCGGGGGACCGCATGGGATGCTGGGAATCGAACCTGTGTCGGCCATGTTGGCTGCGTACAAGGCAAACGCCCGACCTGCTGTGCTATTGCCCCAGCCCCCGTTGTATATTTTTTTACCCTACAAAAAAGACGTTTGCTGAACTAGAGGCAGGGAATTTCCCCAGTGATTTTGATGAAATGTGTACATCTGTAGAACCAAAGCTCTTGAATTTTTGTTTGTTTTTGGGCCACCCTTAGCAGTGCTCAGGACTTACTCCTGGTCCTGCTCTCAGTTCCCGGTGGACTCAGGGGTCCAAATGGGGCAGATGGGATGAAACCGGGTCGGCTGTGTGCAAGGCAAGCGCCCTCCCCAGGACCCTCAGCCCTTGACTATCTCCCTGTGTGCGCCTAATTGGTGTTCATCTCCCAGAATATTTGAACCACTTGAGGTGAGCCTCTGAGAAGGTAAATTGCTTTGGGATTGGGGACGTCGCTCAAGGGCGAGGCTCTTGAGTTTGCTCCTGGGTACTGTGTGTCCCCTTCCCTAGTGCCTGAGGGGACCCCTAGCTCCTGGGAAGGCCTGTGGAGCTCGGGCTTGGTGG